ATGTCTTAGTATATGGGGACCGCCGTTGGATCACCAATTTACATTATGCCTTTCAGGATGACAACAACTTGGTAGGATTTTCAAATGTTTTGTTACTTAATATGCCTTTTCTCCTTTAAATATGCATTGGAATTGTGTGAAGAGATGTGACCACTTTTGTATTATAGTAATGTACTGTGGCACAACGGTGATCTAGGGGTCAGAGCGCTGCGCTTGTAATCCTGGGGTCCCGGGTTCGATTCCCGGTGGTGCCCGGATTTACAACTTGTGTTGGGCAAGGCCGTGGTCCAGGTATCACGCAGTTTTCCTCTGGGGTTTCCCCGTGGCATCACCAAAATTACTCCATTTTCATCATCATTTACACACAGAAGAAGGCAATGGCAAACCACTTCTGGATCATATGCCAAGGAAACATATGAACAGGTCCCTATCAGAGGAAACTTGTTCATAATGTCATAAGGGTCGGCTCCGACCCGATGATACCAAAAAAAAAAAGTGCTATGAAATTTACTATGACTTGCAGATAAAATTTGTTAATTGTGTAATCAGGGATGGTAAGTAAATCAAAATACATTTCAGGTTTCTGATTTTGGCATGAAACCACGGTTATTTTATTGCATATGAACACAGTGTACTCTGAAAAGGAAATATTTTCTTTCATGATTTAGCACTCCAAGTAACTTTAATGACTTCAATAACTTTCATCCGGCACTTTAGTATAGAATAATTTTGTTTTTGTTTTGGCATCCGTGTCAGACACGGTCTCTGACAGAACACAGATTCGAGATATTTGAGAATGGTGTTGTAAACCACGTTTGTGCCCGAGAGAGATAGAGAGACATCAGACTAAAAAAGTCCATAGTATCTTGCATGAGGGAGTTAGAAATGCGTACAAAATTTTTATTGTAAAACTTGAAGAGAAGATGCCCCTCAGAAGATAGAGGAATTGATGGGAAGGTAACATTAAATTGAATCTTAAGGAAATAGGTTAGCTGGTTGTGCATTGGACTCGTGGCTATGTTGTAATCATGCTAACAAATCTTTCGGGTTCTGTGATAGGCAGAGAATGTCTTGGCTAACTGAATGGCTTTTGGCTTCTCGAGAAGGACTCTGATTTATGGAGCTAGTCAGTCAGTCAGTCGGTTTGCCAATTTGTAGTTTGGTATTATCGTGCCAAAGTATTAATACTGACCGAAGAATTCGTAATCCCTTGTCTAGCCACAAAGTGGGCCCGTGTGAGAAATGCTAATTACGCCATTTTGTGCAGTATTTGGTGATGGATTACTACTGTGGAGGTGATCTTCTGACACTGCTTAGTAAATTTGAGGACCGTCTTCCTGAAGACATGGCTCGCTTTTACATTGCGGAAATGGTTCTTGCAATTGGCTCTATTCACGACCTGCATTATGTTCATCGAGATATCAAGCCTGACAACGTGCTACTGGATGCCAATGGACATATTCGTTTAGCAGATTTTGGTTCTTGCCTCAAGTTGTTTGAGGATGGCACTGTGCAGAGTAATGTCGCTGTTGGCACTCCAGATTACATATCACCAGAAATTCTGCGGGTGAGTTGAATCTTTTACAGTCTAGTGCACTGTCTCAGTTTGGTGAAAATCTGTTCCTAAATTTTTTTTTTTTTTTAAATGGTGAAGGTTCGAACATTTACGTTCAACTGTGGAGCATTTTGTGTGTTTGTTCTTTTTCCATTTATGTTTACTCTGATTAAATCATAGTGTTTTCCCATTCTAAGCTTTATATCTAATATAAGAATATTTTGTTATGGCCTAGTCATACCTCATACAGATTTTACTTTGTTTTGTTTTGTATGGTATAAATTAGTTTACGCTTAATCCATTCCTCCTGCTGAGGTGATTACCCAAAAGTTTGCTTATGTCATTAATGTCTGAAATGACGCTTGCAAGAAAATATTGCACCCTTAAGAAAATGACACTTGAGATTGAAAAACGAATGTTGTCATTTCCTGATACAGGAACTTGTGCCTGACTTTATTTTTATATAAACACGGCGAACTAGGCTTTCAGCATCTTTCTGCTC